TAAAATTAGTATTAAGTAAAATTAATGTGTAATATAAAATTTTTAATTTTAATTAATATAATTAGGATTAAAATACTAAATTCTTTTCTAGAAATATTGTACTTACTTCCAATTAAAACTATATTTGAATACAATATTTAATTAATTTACTAATATAACAAATTATAGTATAATAAATATATTTAGTATACAGAATATAATATATCTAAAAAAAATATATACAACCACAAGAATAAAAGTGAGTTATATAAAATTATATAAAGTAATTTATTTTGGTAAATAAATATCTAAATATATAAATTAATTGCGCAACCAAAATGCAGCAAAATTCAAATCAGCATTAATGGTGGACTAAGACCTTAAATTGCCTTATATAACCTATCATACATATATAATTTGGTAAAATATTTTTTAATATAGCAAGAATTATAATAAAAATCTTATTTATTAGATCGATATAACTATGGGCAAAAGGTTAGATGAACAAAAAGTGATAGAGCTTAGGTTATTGTAGTGTATATAGTCAATTTGGCGTTAGTCAATAAAATTAACTTAGTTGATTAAGGCCGTTCTCAAGCGTCTGCCTCAATGTAATTAGCTAATGATCGAGCTGACACTTAAACACATGATCAATTGAAATAAAGTTTGCGATTGGTGCTTGAGCTATCCCTTTCCCTGATCCAATTATGGCTCCAAGAAAAAAAGGTGATTACCCAATTACCTAAAAATTTAGCATCCAAGACTTGGCATTTGAAACTTGCCTCCAGCTGCCCTCTTAACAATTTGGCAAATAAGTTTTCATTGCAACAGTAGCGATGTTTGGCTACAAGTCATCACTGCAACAACTTTATATTAATTCGTTAATGTTAAACGAAGCGATTTCGAAAAATATAATGAAGCATTAATGTTATTTTAATAAAATATATATACGACATATAAAAAAATAATTGATTATTCTTGGAACACTAACCTTAAGCATCTTTTATTTGTTATAAATTTTTAGAAAGGAGTAGGATAATAATTTTTTTGAAATCAATGACAGTCTTGTTGAGGATCCATATTATGAAAAAAATAATAACAATAAAATGAAAGTGTATTTGAGCGTGAGCAATCTCTTTGACTACTCTGGCAATGATAAACTTTAACCAATCAGTGCAGCTCTATGAAAAAAATTGGAGGTCGCAGCTACAGGTTTTTTGACCTAAATGATGACTGCTAACTCAATAAGGCAGGCGCTTGAGAATGGCCTAAGTTTTTAAAAATCAGCTTAATCAAATCAGAGTTAATTTAGACACATGTATAGATAGTAATTCATGAATATAAAACGTACTAAGTATTTTAATGCCTAAAATTACAAACTTTACTAATAAACCAATTGTCACCTACTAAGTAAAATTGCGTAGGCTCAAATTTTGAAGTAGCTAGATTTTTTTGCTTAACAAAGCTTAGCTATAATGTATTCTGACTCCAAATTGTGGTTATTCTGCAGAATTTTGGTTGTGTAGCTAACTATCGCATAAGTAACTATCCTAGTATCGCCAACCTAAAACATATACTATGCAGAAGAAATGCAAAAAATCGTTCATAACATTTTACTCATGAAATAATCTTCTGCGCATTACCAAACAATATTCCTTGCGATATTTTGGCATTAAAACAATTCTTCTTAACTTAATTAACTGCAATGCCTAATCCTAATCTAACAGTGATATTTTTTCAGTGAATTTTTTAGATTGGTAATGCTTGAACAGTTTATATAAGTATACAAGCTTGGCCTGAATTATAACTTAATTTCATAATGCTGGCTAAAACTCATTAATATATAAAAAGAAAGACACTTATCTCTTAAAAGTTAACAGAAATTCTAATCAGTTAGTAATGGATAGTGAACATAAAAATCGTGATAAATTAAGAAAGCACATAAGCAGAGAGAACAAGACATTTGAGCAGAAAGAAACACGGCTTGCTAGAGATCACAATCGAAAACGTCAAAGAAAAGTAACAGAATCAGCAGAACAACGCGAAGCGTAACTTTCATGTGATCGAGAGCGAAAGCGCCAAAAAGCAGCAACACAAAAAAGCAGAGAACGTAATAAAATAGCAATTAGTAATGAAAATAGAGTTAATATTCAGCAAAGTCAAGAACAACAACAAACTGAAGCTGTAGTATATATTAATCCTTCCCCGGCTATTAATACCAGCGAGTTAGAACAAGACCTTTTGAGGAAATTTTTTGAAAAAATAGACAAACTCAAATGTATTCTCTGTTCTGTGTATAATAAAAGTTTTTCAGATATTGTGCTGGTCATGGGAAGCTGTCGCTGATGCACTGCTAAAAGGACTGCTACAAAAAAATTTTCTGCAGAGAACAATATGGATCTAGAGGAAGTTCCTGAAAAACTTCAAGGACTCACAGAAGTTGAGGAAATGTTAATCTCTCAGGTTTTTACCATAATGTTGGTATACCAACTTCATGGTGGACAATACGGATACCGTGGAAATATAATCAATTTCCCCCAGGACGTACAGGGGTTCATTACCACCTTCCTCGGTATCCATCATCTGTGAACATACTTATTGTGTGTCATCAATTCTCAAATCATAATAGAGCATTTAAAGATTTTTATGTCCGATGCTCTAAAGTTACTTATGCATTATACTGGTTAAAAGAAAATAATCGGTACTATTCAAATGTTGTCATTGATAAAGACATTCTTCAATCATTATTGCAGATTATAATGAAATCTGATCAAAATGAAACTGTGGACCTCTCATGCCCACCTTTAGAGCCTATAAAACTCACATATACTTATTTATTAATAAATCTAACCCTAAACTCTACCCCTAATGCTAAAAAGAACCCCAAAAAATGTCCTTCAAAAAATTTTATATTTTTTTAAAAAACAGAAAAATTTCGTTTTGATCAGATTTCGTTTTAATTTGTGACAATCATTATTAGAAGATGGTTATATTGATAGCCAACTTCCACAGGTTCAAAGTGAGCAGAATTCAGATATAGATAATGATGATATGATTACTCGTACCTTTGTTCCTTCTCTTCCTTCAACATATCGTGAAGATGCTGCAATTAATAATATACTAAATCGTTTAAGAAATGAAAATTCTCCAATATTATAGCCAACAATTGACAGTAGCTCAATTAATGAATTCCAAACTCCAGGATACATCACATATGCATTTCCAACTTTGTATCCAACTAGCAGTGCTGATCTTCGTGCTGAACGGATAAAGGATGTCAAACCGGCGGAGTATTAATTGTTAGAGATACTTTGCGCTTAATAGTCAAATGAGATGCTGTGCATTGTCACAGATCATAATGAAATCTGATCAAAATAAAACTGGAGACCTCTCATGCCCACCCTTAGAGCCTATAAAACCCACATATACTCATTTATTAATAAACCTAACCCTAAACCCTACCCCTAATGCTAAAAAGAACCCCAAAAAATGTCCACCAAAAAATTTTATATTTTTTTAAAAAACAGAAAAATTTCATTTTGATCAGATTTCATTTTAATCTGTGACATGCATTACAAGAAGGAAGTATATATGTTAGACAGAATCTGAATGATGAACAGCTCGCCATTGATGATATAAAAATATGATTTCAGAAGGTGATACAAACATATCCAAATGAATTATGTGATTCGGCGAAAGTTTACGTAGATCTCAGCAGTTTTGGACAGTACAGAGTTGTGAGCTAGCAGATATGATAAAACAGATAAGTTTACAAGGATTAGTGTTTTTCACATTTAGTGCCACTGACCTACACTGGCCTGAACTTTATAAGCTTATAAGTTCAAGCGAAAACTATAAAGGAGACACAGAAAGATCAGAGCAACGTCGTCAAAATATAATCAATTATCCTCATATTGTTGCCTAGTTTTTCAATAAGCGATTTGAGGTCTTTTTTAATATACTTAAATGACAATGAGATTTAGAAGATTGGTGATACAGGTTTAAGTAGCAACATCGTGGCAGTGTTCACTTGCATAGGATCGGAAAAAGATGCAATACACCCTTGATCGACTGGAAGCAAATGAAAGAAAATGAAAATATGATGAATAATGTGGTGCAATATCTTGATAATATAGTCACTACAATAAATCCAGGTCTCAATGTGCCAATACCTATATGACACCCATGTCAAAAATGTAATAACGAGATTCGTGATAATATACAAGACTACATTGATCTGATAAATAAAGTACAGAGACATACCCAATGTAGTGCTTCGTATTGTCTGCATACTAATTGGGCTGGGCAACAGGTTTGTAAATATGGGTATCCAAAGAAGAATACTGAAAGTACCTTTTTGCGTGATAATAAGTGCAACCAACCAGAGCTTGTAACTGCAAGAAATGACCCATATATAAATCTATATAGTCAGCTTCAATTACAGGGGTAGAGAGCAAATATAGATTTGAAGCCAGTACTTAGCATCCATGCAGTATTACAATATATTGCTAAGTATGCAAGTAAGCCAGAGCCACGTTCTGCTGCCTTTTCGGAAATATTAAATTAAATACTTCATAATAGTAGGCCTGATGAACTAATACTTGCATCAATTCAAAAATTGTTACTGCATAGCATTGCTGAGCATGACATCTCTGCACAAGAAACTTGTTATATTCTCCTTGGTATACCACTCTATCATTTAAGTTGTTCATTTATCACTTTGAATCTCAATAAGAACGCAGCGCGATGGCTTCGCGGAACTGGTGGTATTGAAGAAAATGAATTTATTACTATCAGAAATTCAGGATAGACAAATAAAACACCTTTAAAAATCTATCAAGAGTGTCCTATAGAATTAGAAAATTTTTCATTATTTAATCTGTATTTAACACACAAATTTATAAAAAATTGCTGGAAAAGATGTGAACGTGAAAATATAGTATGTATCTGGCCACAGCTGTCAAATTTGTGCAATGGCCCCAGTGGGAGGAATTTTGCTACATAAAAGTTCTTCTTCACGTTCGTTATCGAGATGTCTAACAATTAACAGAAAATGAAAAATATCATAGACTTCTTTATATAAGCGTCATCTTGAGGAGATAAATTCTGATCCACCTGATCTTATTGGTCAAGCTGTAGATAATGAGAAAAGTGAGATTGATAATGATAGCAATGATGATGAAATGATAGAAGATGACGAACAAGAATACCGTGCTGAATGGATGCTTCTGGCTGAAATGGGACCGAATGCAACTATTGATGATTCTTCTGCTATTGGATCGCATAGTATAGATATAAATTATGATTGGGTTAGCAATAACAGACATCTATGTTCAAATATTGATATTATAGATGCCAGCACTTTTGTATAACAAGCTTCCAGCAACGCTAGGGCAGAAAACAATGAGAGTTTAGTTTCTGAAAATATAGACTATGAAACATTAAACGAAAAGCAGAAAATAGTACTTAATTGAATAGAATCATATTACCGTAGCGTCCTTGAAGAGTATCAGGTTGATCCATTAAGAATAATCATAATAGGAACCGCCGGTACTGGAAAATCGTACCTTATCAAAACAATTCGAAAATTATTAAATACAATTGCTGAAGCAGAAGTTAATTCACCGTTACTTGTGCTCGCTCCTACAGGAGTTGCAGCATTTAATATTAATGGATTAACAATCAATTCGGCGCTTTTAATTTCCATACATACTAAAATTTTAACATAGATAGTGAAAGGTTAAATCAGTTACAAGAAAGATTACGGAATGTGAAGTATGTAATTTTAGATGAGAAAGCATAGTGGGGTGCAGAATGATCACTTTAATCGATATGCGGCTACGTTAGGCCTTTCCTGAATGTAGAAATGTACCATTTGGTGATTGGTCCATTATTATATTTGGAGATTTTGGACAACTCTCCCCTGTCCTAGATCTTCCTATGTATGCAACCAATACATTACGAGATCCAGTATCTAATGATAGTCTTGCAGCATACACTCAATTCAAAGAAGTGTACAAACTTGATATTATTGAGTGTCAATCAGGAGACTCTGAAGAACAAAGGATATTCAGGAACATTCTTTTACAGTTGCATAATGGTAAGTCGACCTTATCAGATTGGGAAACACTGACCTCACAATTCGAAGATAAAATAACTGACACGGAAAGGCAACAATTTTTAGAGGCTAGTTTTATATCACCAAAGTGGTCTGACATTGAGAGGATAAATTTAAATAAACTTATGTCTCTGAAACATCCTGTTGCTAAAATACTTGCTGTACATACCAGTGGTCCTGAAGCAAAGCGAGCAGACTCAGATGTGGCGATGGTTTAGAAGTGCAGCTATTATTAGCAAAAGGTTCATGTTTAATGCTAACGGCAAACTTATAAACAAGAGCAGGTTTAGTAAATGGTGCAATTAGAACAGTTCAAGATATTCTGTATAATGAACAGGAACCGCCTTATCTTCCCGTGGCTGTTCTGATTTCATTCGAAAGATATAATGGGCCCAGCATTACTACAATAGAAGGTATAGAAGTAGTTCCAATTGCACCTATC